AAGGGCATGCAAAACAGATTTGCTCTTCAGTAGGTCACTGAGAAATGTAGGAATGTAGGAAAGGAAATGTAGGAAACATTTGTTGATTTAAAGGAAGTGTATGATTAAGTTAACACACTTGAATACAGAAATGAAGCTTGACTGCTGAATGTAAGAATGGTATATATTAGAAATAAATCTTACATGAGAATAAATACTTAGGAAATGGTTCAACATTGAACAGAAAATAAGACAGGGATATAGGGGTCCATGAGCCTGTTTAATAGATATAAGGGATGCTTAGGGTAATGTTGAAGTGTGTTGATGGGGGATGTGACATATCTTTCTATGCAGATATTTTGTGACTGACAGACCCTAACGATCTGCAGTTAATGTATAATGTATCAAGGAATACAGTTCTGAAAACTGATGTATTAAAATGCAAGTTAGTTATGTTTAACAAGGAAATAATTTGATAATAATAGTGAAAAACTAGGGCAAGCAGATGAATTTGTGTACTTTGGTAGAATATTTAATAAAGATGGGAAAATGGATGGAGAAATGTTAGGTTGTATAAATGCTGCGAGGATAGTGGATAATATGTTCCTTGTGGTAATGAACAAATACTGAATAAAAGCAAAAATGACTGCATATAAAACTGTGTTTCTGTCCACATTGCTATTTGAAACTAATAGCTGGGTATGTCAAGTAAGACATAAAAGTAAACTGAATGCAATAGAAATAGGGCATTCAGGGGCATCCATGGGGGTGGGGCAGGGTGGAATAAATTCAAATGTATCTTTTTTTTTAATTTGAAAGACATATAACTTGACCCAACCTTTTTCCAAGCAAAAAAGGATTTATTTTCTGCACTTGATATAATTTAAAAGGTTTTACTCGGAGTTACATTTTTTATCATACATATGCAAAACACAAACCTATTTTTATTGTTCCCTATTTTTCCTGTATCAGGTATGGAGTATACATGCAATTTTTAAAATAGGAACAAAATTACTAAGGTTAAGCATCAAATTCAAGGAAATGCTGAGATTATAGTAAAAATACCATACCAAGGCTCACCCCTTGGTTGAAGAAGGTTAAGTAAAAGAAAGCAACAGACCAACAATTCAGTGGAGACAATGGCATTATTGGTTTTCCGATGGCTCATGATAATTCTCAAGATCTATCATCACTTCCATTCTGTTTATGGTTTGAGTAACTGAATTTAGTATGTTGAGTAACATTCATGGAAAATAGGATTCTGAGTCAGAAGGAAATCATCTGATCACACACTATTCTTGTGATACCAGATAATGATTCAGAAAGAAAGTGTGAAACCTCTAGCTTGAGTTAACATACAATGGAATATGCAGGCAGCACTTTCACACTTTATAAATGACTCAATAATTTTTGAAGAATCAGGATCCCATTTATAATTATCTGCCAATATTAAAGGTGAAATAGCACATTTTATATCAGTATTTTTTATGCAACTTTAACTGAAAAAGTACTTTGCACTCTGACTTTTCTGGGGACAAGATCTCAACACTTGTAAAATTACAAATAGCGAACTACTTACCTAACCTCCAAATTCTTACTTAAGCTACTAAAGCCACTCCAAAATAATCATTCTGATTATAATCTTCTAATAACATAGAAGACTTAAGTTGCTGTAACTTGAACATTTGCTTTCAGTATACTATATGAGATTTTGATAACTTATATTTAAAAGTTTATAAACCCTTTTGAATTTTCAGTATTTTCAAATAATCTAAAATATGATCTATTCTCCTTATAAGTCCTAAACCTAGATAAAGAGAACCCAATTAAACAAATGAGTGAAAAGCATTAGATGTGTTCATTTAAATGATCCAAAGCTGCATATCTGTGTGTAGCAAAAGGATGTGAACCTCTGGGATTACCAATTCATTTAAATGGGAAGTTAAAGTCAGGGTTATCCATCAATGGGATGAAAATCAAGTGGGAGTATGCCTTATTTAAAGAACAGAATTCTGGATATTCACTATCAAAGTCTAATCTTCACAAAATAGATTTGTGGAAGTGTATCATGGGCTCAAACAAAGGAGATTACTGAGGACCTCCAACATGCAGTTTTTGATGTTCACTTGAAAAAAAGTTACAAAATTGTTTTCAAAGAGTTTGAACTCTAGCAGTCCACTGTCAGGAAGATGTCTGCAAATGGCAGCAATTCAACACCATTGTTATCCTCCCCAAGAGTGGTCGATCAATCAACATCACATCAAGAGGAAAGCATGGGAAGTCTTAAAGAAGCCCAGGATAACAAAAGAAATATTCTTTATTGACCAAGTGTGATTGGACACACAAGGTATTTGTCTCCAGTGCATAAGCTCTCATACAAACAACTAAGTGGTAAATCACACATCATAAATCATAAGATACAAACGACAAGTGATAAATCATTAGATAAGACCTCTCTTGCATAAGGAAATGTCAACGTTCATGAGACCACTATTAGAAGAACACTGAACAATAGTGTGCATGATAGGGCTTCAAGGAGAAAGCTACAACTCTCCAAAAAGAACATTGCTGCCCATACAGTCTGCTTATCCACATGGATAAGCCAGAAGGCTATTGGAAGAATGATGGATGAGACCAAAATAGAATATTCTGGCTTGAGTGAAAAGTATTGTATGTGGTGAAAGGCAAACACACTGCATTCCAGCATAAGAATCCCATCTGTGAAATGTGGCAGTGACAGTATTATGGTTTAGGTCTGCTTTATTGCTCTGGACCAGGACAGCTTGCCATCATTGATGGAACTATGAATTCTGAATTGTACCAGTAAATTCTATAGGAAAATGTCAAGGCATCTGTCTATGAACTGAAGCTCAAGTGAAAGAGGATCATGCAGCAAGACAACAATCCAAAATACACAAGTCTTACAACCAAGGAATAGTTAAAAAAGAAGAAAGTTTATGTTTTGGAATGGCCAAGTCAAAATCCTGAACTTTATCTTATAGAATCTTATGTTATGGAAGGGCTTGATCTTGGGCGGTTCATGAGAGGAAGCCAACCAACATCCCTCAGCTGAAGTTGTTCTATAAGGAGGAATGGACTAAATTCTTTCAAGTCAATGTGCAGGATTCATTACAGTATCAGTTATTGGAAATCTTTAATAGAAGTTATTGCTGCCCACCAGTTACTGAAAGCAAACATTCACATATTTTTACCAGACACAAATATGTAGCTTTGGATCATTTTCCTCAATAAATAAATAAACAAATATACTGGCAGTCCTCGAGTTGTGACTGCAGTTGGGATCAGGATTGCTGTCACTAAGCACAATAATTGTAAAGCATGATATCACAAGACCGCATTGCTTAGTGACAGCAATCCAGAAAGTCCCCTGTTGTCATAACCCCAAGATAGTAGCTGTGTTGTTAAGCAGAAAGCAGAGAAGTTTTTATCTCTCACTTCCTTAACAGATAGCCTTATTACTTCAAATTCTTTTTTAAAAAAGAAATTTAATTTTTTCAATAAACTATTCCTGTTACTTAGCTAGCTTATTCAAAACATTTCTGCAACATTTCACAGCCCAATTCCCAACCAATTAAGCTTTTATCTAAAATGTACAGAATGTGCGCAGGTAAAAAAAGATCTTGAGGACAGACACTACAGCTTCTCTGAAAAATGTAGCGTACTCATATAACATTGTGCTGCACCATATGGTACTTCTGATTTGTGAAAAGGCAGCCTACTTTAATTTCCAGCATACTAAGCGCTGAGCAAACCCAAATATCCAGATACAATGCAAATGTAATAAACAGAAGTATAAAAAAAAAAAAGCCAAGAAGGTGAAAATATACTTAGAGACAGTCTCCCAGATGATTACCTCAAATTCTTCTAATTTAGATCTACAGAGAAATGTCTGGGCAACTGAGGCTTCCAAGTCAACATCTTTATCAGACCCATAGGCAAGTCTCAGAAATCATGCAGTATGCACTCAGATGGCAAGCGAGTCACTTACCATCTAAGCGCAATCTTGATTGGTGTGGTAAGGCAGGATGTGAACAGGTCAGCTGGTAAGT